TTAGATCTTAGTGGATTGGTACATGTTTGCACACTAGCCTCAGGCTGTTGCTCCACATGTAGTGAGCACCTGGGTTCTTCAAGTCTTGTGGCGATGAGAGTTGCAGTCATTGGTTTCGGGCGCAGTTCTTTTGGCAGAATAGGAGTATGATGTGCAAAAAGGCGTCTCGAACAAGCCCTAAACCCGAGACCTTGAATCGAACATACTTCAAGCCTTTGTCATTTTGAATTTTGCTAGGTATGTTACCATCTGTGTATCGAAGGGCATCGGCTTGCTTGTACCATGGGCTCTCGAGCCAAAATACGCCCCATTGACATGAGATGCAGACTTGTTTGTTCTAGGATTTGCTTCAGCCGTCGTTCCTGCAGATAGTTGTTTGATCCCAATCTGGTTCTGCAGGGCGGTGACTACAAGCAGTTCATGGACTACTCCAAGTACACTCAAGGGCACGGCTCGCAGGGCTCGGACTACAAGCAGTATATGCAGTCCTACGCCGATGATTACAGCAACTTCTCCATGGCAGAACATCAAAATTTGTTCTTGTCTTGTAGTTTCCACTGGGATTGAAGCTTTCATCACCCGAAGAGCTCCCCCGGACCTGTACAGCAGCAAGGCAAGTACACGCAGGGGCACGGTTCCGAGAAGAGCGGCTTCCAGAAGTACATGGATTACTCCAAGTACACCAAAGGTCAAGGCTAACTGGGCGGAGGAAGCTGGTTGTTGGTCTCAGGGGCAATGTCACACCTGAGCGTATTTCAGAGCTGAGGGGTTAACAGTTCGCAGTCAGTAGCTAGTAGTTAGTCTGTATTTAGCACATAGTAACCGACTTAGTACCAGTAGTCGTCGTCGTGGCAGCAGCAGCTGCTGTCGTATCGGTGGTGGGGTTCGTGGCAGTGGTAGTAGTAGCGACGACGACTACTGCTACCACCATCACAAGCACTACTGCCACACCGTTCTTCATCTGTCATGAGAGGACTGGTATCCGAGACTTGAAGTCTCAGACTGAACTTCCAAGACCCTATAGGCCCCAATTAAAACCAACCAGCTCTATGAAGTCGTAGCTTAGCATTTCCAGGTCAGGGCGCCTCGGATGCGGCTTTGATGTTGGCAGCAACGGGCCCGAATGCCTCGTCTGAGCATGCCCGGCCGAATGCCGCTTCCGCTGCTCTAGAGGCTTTAGAGGCTTCAGCGAAGGCCGGGTTTTGAGTCTTGAACTTGCAGGGGTACGGATGACGAAGGTGAAAACGATGGCGATGCCGATGCTGATGCATGGCAACCAGGATGAGCATGAGGCTGCCGCAGGTACTGATGGTGATCTGAACGAATCCCAGACCTCAAACTGCAAAATGTCTGAAATCCACAACTTGCAGCCCAGGAGCGAGAAAAGCAGCAGGAGCAGCGCGAAAGGCAGCGCGAGGCTCACGAGCGGCAGCAGGAGGACGAGCGTGATGAGCGCGAGAAGCAGCGCGAGAGCCACCTGCGGCAGCAGGACGACAATGCAGGGTTCCAGCTCGAAGGCTCCATGCACCCACTGTCTCGTTTTATTAAACTTAGGCCTACCTAATCATGTAGGAACCGTTGAAGGCCTAAATATAGACTATGTAGGTACATGGAGGTTCGGAGTAGATTCAGGACAGACTTCATGCAAAGTCTCGCGCTCAAAGCGAGGGGATGTCTGCCAGGGGCGCATCCTGGCCCTAGGCCCTAAACGCTCTGTTGGGGGGGACTGACCAGCTTCAAGGCCCTATACACAGGTCGTCAGTTTTAGCAGTATGTAACTCACCTTAAACTAGCATAACCTATACGTTTTTGTAGGTTCTGATTTTAAAGCGGGAATTTATAAGGACCCGAAATAAAGGCAGGTTTTGTTAGGTGAAGGTACGTAGTAGATAACCTACTAGACGCTTGGAAAGGGATGTCCACTTGGTATGGCCACTTGGTTGCTGTAGGAACAGTCTGCAAAACCAGAGCTTCGCTGAGGCCACAAGCATTCAGAGCGTAGAAGCCCCACACCTTACCTGGACTCTTAGGAAGTATCGGAAAACCCCCAAAAGCCGTAGATTCTGTCGGAATATACTTGCGCCGACATGTGTGAATTCAGATAAGGCATCATGCCTTCTCAAGCGCTTGTATGAAAAGACCCAGAATCTCCCACTCAAGGAGTATTGGCCAAAACCTAAAATCCCCAATCCGAATCGGCTGGGAGAGGAAGTCATCTCCTAGGGTTGAGACGATCTAATGTGCAAAAGATCATGGACGTCCTGGGAATTTCTTTTATGA